AGAAAACTTCGTCCAACCTTATGTTTTAGGGCCTTGGTTGGAACCCTTAGAGCTGCTGGTTCCTGGTAGGCCGTTAAATGGCCTGCCCTCGGCGCCGCCCACCCGGTGCCGGCTCCTGTCCTTACGTCCTCAAACACGCCCGAGGGCAGACGGTAAAGGGCGAGGAAAGGAAAGTGAGACGAGGTTAGGTGGCATGATGGGGATGGGGGCGGGTCGCCTCACCGCACAGCGTCGTCTCCTCTCGCCCCCGCGCGGCGACTGACTGTCTGTGCGGCACCGCGGTCGGCCCGCCTCCCCTGTTTGTCACTCTAGGGTGTTATCACTGCCGGCGGCCCGGCCGTGTGTTCTTTACCGCCCCGTTCTCCTCTCCCGTCCCTTCCGACCCCTCCCCGCCCCAGCCCTCATCCAACCCACGATGGTCGCTGCGCCGGTCTCCCGTCCGTTTCCAGCTGGCCAGAACCTCAGTTATCTTTGTGCGATAACAAACCGTTCCTGACCTTAGCGCTCACTCCCGTGCTTACCTCCCAGCGATGCATGTCATCCATTTGGCCATTAAGAGGCCTGCCCTCGGCGCCGCCTGCCCGGTGCCGGGCGGCGGCTCCTGTACTTTACGTCCTCAAACACGCCAAAAACTGCCAAAACGGAGTGACCTGTAGGTGTTTGGTAAGGGCCCTCAGAGGCCGGCAATTAGCCCTCAGAGGTCGCCAATAGGCCTCGAGAAGCCGGCAAGGGGCCCTCAAAATGCCCGAAAATCACAGGATGATTCTACCTCTCTTATACGGCCTTGAGCTCATCGGTCTCACAACCGACGGTGAGTCAGCAAATACAGGTCGGAATGCGGGGTTATGGGCCAAGCTCCGGCAACAGAACGGGACGACGGACGTAATGACCATGTGGTGCGTCTGTCACCGTTCCGACTTGGCTATGGAGTCTGTGGAAGACACGGTGTCTGAATGTGGAAGAGTGAGACGACATGCTTGTTGCCTTACTTTCGCACCTCGAAAAAAAACACACACACACAAAGGCATTGCGAGACTGGGGAAACCATGGCTTTCCCACCTCACTTCGAGGTCCGGTTTGCCGAACACCGGAACCAATGTTGCCGAGCCATCCTCACCAACATCGATGCGTGTCGGAAGGTGTTGAAGGAGATCGTCTCCTCAGGCGCAGACAAACGAGCTGTTGCCCGAGCCCTTGCCCGAGCCAATGGGATGCTGAAGAAGTTGCAGACTGGCGGGCAGACGTTCAGGCTCACGGCTCTGATGCACGACATTAGCAGTGTCATGTCACGACTGCAGAAAGTTCTTCAGAAGAGTGAACTCACCTTGCCAGATGTTATGCAAGCCAGAGACTCCGCACTGCAGCTTCAGCTGATTGCTGACGGTCCTCTTCCCGGTGGCCAAGAAGAGTCGAGTGAAGGAGGTGCCTCCGCTAACGACTGTTCAGAGACAGGATCAAGCGGCCGCCGGCAAGTCGTCAACACTAATGTCTCCTCGTCCAAAGACTACTCGGCTGTGCGAAACGACATGGCACGGATGCACTGTATAAGCATGTACGTAGCAGCGCAAGTTGGCGTTCGTGTAACCGTGTTCACCATTCGTTTCCAAGTTCACGATTTACCTATCTCGTTTCTCATATTCATCTACATAACAGCGTACCTTAACCAGCGCCAAATAAAATAGCAAAGGCAGAGGTGGAGATCTCGGGGGGGGGGGGGGTCAGGACCCCCCTGAAAACGAATTACTGCTATGTAAGCCAATGGTACTGCATCCAGCCCGCCTTCATCTGCCCGGCCTGGACCCCCTGACATGTTGACAGATCTCCACCCCTGAGCAAAGGTCGTGCGAGATGTGGTTCAGAAGATATTTTCATCAGGAACATTTTATATTTGAGTGCCTAATATGAAACGTTGGAAGGTTAAATTAATCAGATTACGAAACATTTCGTAACGATGTTTTTTTGCTTTGTTTTGTTTATTTTTAAAAATAATATTCGGTGATTTGGAGGCGAACTCTGGAAATTCGCCACGGACGTATAAATAAACGTCCGTTAAATTCGCCAATATTTGACTTTTTATCGCCTATCGCCAAACGCCGTGCTTCTATCGCCAATGACTTCCAAAATTCGCCAAATTGGCGACATATCGCCAAGTCTGGCAACCCTGCTCGTAATAGCCACCTGTGGAGAGTTTCCAGTATAAATACAATACAAATAAATACAAATACTTTCCGGCCTCTTAAGGGCCCTTACCGGCCTATTTGTGACCAGCAGCTCCAAGGCTATAGAACTCCAGGTAAGGACACCAGCTGTTTGACCTTGAATGCTGCCGGCCGGCCGGTGACGTCATTGGAGGCAAGCCGGCTCGGCGGACACATAAGGCGAATGCACAACGGAGGGGCGTTGGAACGTTGCGGGAGCCGGGGAGATATTTTAATGTTGCTGCATACCACCATTGTTATGTTGATTGATATACAGACTGCATTCTTTTAAACCTCGATGCATCCTAGGCCTGGATGGTGCGTACATGCGTGGAACCATCACCCCGTCCGATGTTTGTGGTCGAAGCTGTCTATGTATCTAAAGACACTAAGACGGGTGCAATAACGGCGACCCGATCCCGTCTCTGGCGAATCTAGAGGGGTCGTAAGGACCCAGGCCGAATCTGACCGTCTATTTTTAGGGAAACGGGGTGGGTGAATTGACAACCGATGGTTTAAGAGATGATGAGAAGGGATCCCGTCGTCGATTGTTGTTTGACAGACAACACATGCACTGGGCGTATAACCATCAAAGGTAATGCCTGAACGTAGGCAAGCATAATTGGTCTGTCATATTGGCTAGGAATATAAAATCGTAATGGAGATCATTGAGGATATGATCTCTACGAGGCTACATAAAGGGAATTCATTAATTACTGCGGCCCATAGGGGCACCGCCAGAGCTGTTGTTTTACCATCGGTCCCAGGCAATTCTCCAGGGAGCTGCAGTACCCGGCGGCCAAAGCGGCCACCTCGTCGACTCACAGGTCCTGTGGGATTGCGTGATGCTTCAGTGCTTCACCCACAGAAGCACGGGTATAGCAGTAGGATGTGGGGTTAGGTGTCTCTAGCTGTCCACCCTTCATTGTAGGTACAACGTAGGTATGCAGCGCCTGGTCCCGCCGAAGCTCGGTATCGACCGTGACTGATTCACAACTGGCGGATCCAGGAAGCGGTCTTGGACACTGCGGGGGCTTACCCCAAAAAGGTTTCTCCGAATGAATTAAAAAAAAAAACTCGGATGTCGATTCCTTGCGCACTGCTGTTCAGTGTGATTAACCAACATTTCCTCAGAAAAGTTGTGAAGTTTTCTTTTATTCTCGAAAAGCGATCCCGGGCGCTACCCCGGTTGTGGGGAAGACATTTGCCACAAATGCCTTCCCCTGGATCCGCCAGTGGGTTGCCCCACCCCGAGCTAGACTAAAAACGTCCACAATTAAACCCCACCAGAAACCGATGGTAAGGTGAATTTAAATCCAATAACTCATCTCTGCCTGCCCGCCTAAATATACTACAGGGTGTTTCACAATAAATGTTACTTTTGAATAGCTTAAATAAAGATCTTACTTGTTCGTAAGCGCGTAAATTTTATATGCATTTTGCTGCAAATTTGTAGCGGTTTTTAGTCCTTACATATTTTTTTTTACAAACCGTTAACGGTTCCATCACTATGGACGTGCAATGCCAACACCGTCAAAACGGGTCAATTCGCCGTGTACAGATGATGAGGCGGTATGGGTGGTCATGCATTACGGCGCTTTGCGGAGTCTGACCGCAGTGCGACGGAGTTTCGGTAGCCATTTAAAAGGAGGAAGGATATTCCGTCAAAAATGTCTTTCAAACGGGTAGTAGAAAGGTTCCAGAAGACTGGAAACACGAGACCAGCCCCGACTCCTGGCCGGACGGCGATCCCAGAGAATCTGGTTGAAAAAGTCAGACGGAAGGGTGGCATAGTGGAGAACCCGTGAAGGGTGCTGAACTGAAAGTTATATGTTCATCAGTCCTACTGTTCTGCTGTCTCATGAGGTAATAGGTACTCATGAGCCATATTGTAATACATGTCACTGAAACATCGTCGTTTGAAAAGCAACGTTCATTGTGAAGGACCCTGAAGCTTAACAGCGAATTGACCTGTTTTGATGGTGTGGACATTGCACGTACATAAATAATGCAGTTGATGATTCGTCATAGGTTTTGTAAGGATAAAAAACCCGAAAGAATTTGCAACAAAATGAATATGGAATTTATGGGTATACGAATAGCTGAGGTCATTTTAAAAGCTTATCAAAAGTAACGTTTATTGTGAAACACCCTGTACCTACACATGGTACGGCACCCGGCCCTGTCGGAGCTTTGAGCCGATCGTGACATTTTCGGCTTTCACTTTATGGAGGTTCGCAAATACAACGCAGTAACAAATATCAGTACCTAGCACACTCTCCCTTTGACGCCCCACTCCGCGATTCCCCTCCCCTTGGCCGTTCCGCCCGCGAGAGCCAATCAAACGCTCATTAGGTCACGTGACCGTGCCCCGGGCGCCTGACCGCCCGTCCAGGTCCCAACGGACCCGGGCGAAGAGGTCAGGGTCAGTTGCAGTCACGTACTCATGAGCGCCGCGTACGCTGTTCCCGACGGGGAGGAGGAGCCGGCCGCTCCACCCTTCGATGTAACTCCGTTACTCGATGAGGCAGGGCTGCCAAGATGGAAACCCGAGCTCGTCCTAGGCTTCCCATTGGCCGCCTCCGAAGACGCAGTCAGAAGCGCCAGACGCCGCCTTCAACGCCGCTTTCACCCCGACCGGCCGACCGGGGACGCAGGCGCCTCTCGGCTCGTCAACGCGGCGGCGGACATTCTGCTGGAACATCGTGTCGCCTATCACATGGATGAAGTATTTACTGGATTGGCAACTCTCCGCCGATTTGCGACCAAACCGCGCAGTGCGCATGCGCGAACTCCAGATAGGACGCTGTCGTTTCAGCGCCATTCTTTCTAGTGTTGTGGATGGTTGGGGTGGTCGAGTTTTCGTCATTTATTCTTGAAGTTGAGCTGATAATCGATAGCTGTGTTGTTATCTGATATTTCGATGAGGTAAGAAACGTTTTGACATATCGTTTGTTGTGTTGACTGTCTTCCATATCATATAAAGCGACGTTTTTGTGCCTGATGCCCGATGAATCGTTGGGCAGCGGGCCACCAATATTTGAACGATTCTTTGCTTGTTAAATAATGTTTTAAGTAACTAAGGATCGATCTTTGATAATCAGGCCTCGCTCTGTAGTGCACATATATTAATAACACTGTTTTTTCATGTGCAGTTTAAATATTTCATTGCAAAGTAGGAACCTACCTTGCCAGGCATATTTTTTAGAATGGAGTAGCTTAGCAATGACTCTGGCTGATTTTTTCTTAATTTTATACTTTTTCAATGAAAAAGCAACTTCAAAACTTCAGTCATGCAACTGACCATGCCACTTTGGCACCAGATACCTACTTGACTTGAAAAGTGTTTTATGGTCTGTTGAATTGACGTTCGGTTCCGTGCTGCACAGTTATTTTGGCACATGTTGGGCAATATTGCCTAATTCAAGGTTCAAAGAACTTACCTGTTTTTTTTCTGGTTTCCCACAGGATGGAGCCTCTGGTATAGTGGTGCAAATGGTCAACCACGACAACTCCGCATGGTGCGGAGCTATCAACTGCAGCAACTCAAAGAAGCAGAACCCGGGCATCTCATTTCATCGTTTCCCCAAGGATCCGAAATTGTAAGTTAATGGAATCCAATTTGCTTCACCATTGAATTGGCTGTAAGTTAATTACTTAACTGTACCTTACATCAATACATATTTTTACAATGCATTGTTTGAAGTTTTTATGACTAGACTCTTAACTCAAGGTACATTTTTTTGCTACTAGTAAACAATCAATGACTTGTAGCAGAAGAAATGTACTTGCCTTTAACATATTTTTATCATTGAGGAATGGTTACAAATAACAAGTCATTAAAAAAAACATGAAAATGTTGAATTTTTTCTTCACTACTTTCATGTTGTTTCAAAGTATGCATTTGTACACGGAAAGGTGCAATGGAAAGTGGCATGTTATTTAGTATACCTAATTACAGTGCATTTTGTTAGTGTTACAATGGCAAATTTAGTTACTTCTAGTTCCAGTTAGTTACAGTTAGTGTTACATCTAGCGAATTTCAGTGTTATTTCAGGCAAAACACAACTTCAGTCCTGCCGTTGGTTGTGTCTCTGCTGTGTACTCCCTCTTCCCTGTGCCCCTGGGCCTGCCCTTAGCTACTACGCCCTCGTTGACCTCGTTATACAACTATTCTGATCAATTTCATGTTTTCTCATTCTAGGAGCAGACAGTGGATCCAGTGCTGCAGACGGGCAGATCTGCTAAACAAGTCTGCAGATTACTTGCACATCAATGTGAGGCTTTGTTCCGCACACTTTGAGGCCTCTCAGTTCTACCCAAAGGGCAAGAGACTACTGCGAAATGCAGTACCGACCATCTTCAACGTGCCAAACCCGCCTCGGCCTATCGCCACCAAGCGACCTCTCTGTGAGCGGAACGACCCTCCGCCTAAAAGAACAAAACGAGGTAAGCTCTTCTCCAGTGGCATGGATAACTGACCTTTTGCAGCCCTCCTTAGAAACTTGTGTCAGGCTCTGCTGCTCTGTTGCGAGACATTCTTTCATTTATTTAATATATGGTCAATGACAAGTAAATGGCGAAGTACTTGTATGAACAGCATTATGACATATATATGTTTTCAAATATAACCTTATGTTCAATGATTGCGAAATGCAAAAGGTTCCAAAATTAATTACAAAATGAATATATTTCGGACACTGTCCTTCTTCAGTTCAGAATTGCAAATTAAATCATTTAGTCACAACAGCGCCAGAATATGTCGATAACAGCTAAGTTAGGAAGTCTCACATTGGTAAATTCTCGCGCAAAATAGACAACCATCTTACAGTTGAAATGTTCACAAGGTACCCTTTCATATAAATATAATACATGTGTCCACAATTTACACATTAATTCATCCCTATCATCTATCAATCACTAGACCACAAGCATCTAGTCGTCTATTTAACCATCGAGCCATGCAATCCGTCAAACATCCAACCATCCATGTACTCACACATCACTCAGCTATAGATAATTAGACAATCAAGTCATCAAAGGCCACCATCTTACATCAAAGAGCATAAGTACTGTACCATTAAACCATTCATTCAAACCTCGAAACAATACTCAATCGTTCAATCATTCATGTTCATCCATACATTCATACATTCATTCATTCATTCACTCATTCATTCATTCATACAATCATCCAATTATTCAGTCCTTCATTCATTCATTCATTTTCTCACACACCATTCATCAATATGGTTAAATATAAAAGCCACTTGTCATCAATACACACATGATCAGTGAATCAGTGGCAAAGGCATCAGAACAGAAGACGTTACAATAGCGAAGTTGTAAATGCTAGAGTACTACAGGACAGGATCAGTTCCTCATTGCTTTCCCTTGGTCTATGACTCGTTACCCTTTAAATGATGGCCCAGGCCGCTATGTTGCTGTTTAGAGCTGGGCGAATCTGTTTGATCCAAAGAGACTCCGCTATTTTCCTGCCTCTACTGTCATCGCATGCCTGCAGAATCTTTGCCCTTACATTATGGGGTCCCGGCCGACACTGGGGATGCTGTGTTCGGAAATTCTCGCCCCACGGGGAGTCATTCCGCTGGTTTTTAGCATCTCGCAAATGTTCGTTGTAGCGGAGGCGCACCGAACGTCCCGTCTCACCAACATAACTCTGGTTACACAGTTCACACGTGAGCTGGTACACCACACCTGAGCTGTGGGCTGTGGCATCTTCCTTTCAGTCCGGCGGCGCACGAGTGGCATCGAGAGCCACCGGGACAGGGTGGAGGCTGTAGGGCTGACCGGACCAGTTGGTGCCTGATGGTGTTCTTATTAGTCCAGGCCAACCCCAGGTCAGGTTGACTACTCCTCCGGACGAGTGACTGGACCGCGTTGGCGAGCTCGTCGTCGACAAATGGTAGCACCATTCTGACAGCGGAAGCATTCGGTCTTCTTCTTCTTGCTCTGGTCGTGTTCATGCACTGGTCCACCGCCTTGTTGATGGTCTTCACGTTGTACCCGTTGTTGGCGAAGAGCTCTCTTGTTTTGTTGATGCTTCGGTGTCGGGCGTTATCGTCACTTGATAGCTTGATGGCTCGTCGTATTTGTGAGTGAAGCACAGCCCTTTTAGTCTTCCATGGTTGAGCCGACTCTGCGTGAAGTATAATCCCGGCTGATGTTGGTTTGATGTAAAGTTCCGTTGTATACTTTCCCGAAGGGTAAGCTGTGATCTTGGTATCTAGAAAGGGGATTGGTGTATTGTCTTCCGTCGACTCGATGGTAAATTTCATTGAAGGATGTGCTTCGTTGATGTGGGATAAGTATTTTTTGAGACTAGTTGGTCCGTGAGTCCACACTCCAAAAATGTCATCGATGTATCTCATGTAGATGTCCGGTTTGAGAAGTGCGCTATCGTTGAAGGTGAAGGTCAATGACTGTGAATTTTATGAATACTGCACATAACCAACATTCTAGTCAAATATTGCTTGTCATGGAACAGACCGCTGGTTGTCATTTGTAATGATGATCATCTGAGCCATGTTTTGCACCATTAGTGAGCCTGGCTCATGGCTGGTCCAGGCCAATCGACCTCAGTGTAGTCTGTTGTTCTCACACTGTTTGCCCTCCACTGCGGCCCTGCATCAGTGCCCTGTGCTTCTTTGCCGTACCCCTACACCCCCCCCCCCCGCCCTAAATCTTCCCAGTCTCAGAGACATTCATGTTTTACTAAAATATGTCTTCTTTGTTTATTGTTACAGGGGAGGCCCAACCATCACTAGACTGGACGTTCCTTGCTGATGTCGTCTTTGATGCAGCTGACACAGGTGATCAGCCAGCGACGCGACAACTGCAGTCAGAAATGGCAGCAACAGAGAATCCAGCTTCTGAAGCAGTGACAGTGCAGCCAGCGGCTGTAGCTACGGCAAAGACAGTGGTGACACCAACATACAATCGTTATCGCTGTGCACTGAGACGCCAGAAGCAGATAACAGAAAGGCTGGAGAAGAAGCTACAAGAGAGCAATGCAAACCTGACCTCGGTGACAGATGTGCTGAACACAACTGCAGAAATCTTGTCCCCCAATCAGCAGGCATTCTTTAAAACCCAGCTGGAGATGTCTGCAAAGAGTGCACGTGGAAGAAGGTTCACGGACAAAGAAGTAATGGAGGGCCTCGCACTGTTTTATCAAGGGCCAAAAGCGTATCGTCACCTGATGAAAACGTTCGTTCTTCCCAGTCCACGGTGTCTCAGGAAGAGAATGGAGGGAATCCAGATGTGGCCTGGTTTCCAAGACTGGATTGTTGGGGTTATGAAGGAGAAGTTCAAAGGTGCCAAGGAGCATGAAAAGCTGATCACGATATCATTTGACGAGATGACAGTGCGCCCCAAACTAACCTACCTTCCAGCAGAGGACTTGGTCGAAGGAGTGCAAGATCATGGCAGCCTAGGTCGTGCATCAGACCCTGCTGACCACGCCCTGGTGTTCATGGTGCGTGGGGTAACGTGCCGTTGGAAGCAGCCCTTGGGCTACTTCCTGAGAAGTGGACCGACTCCAGCTGTGGTCATGCGAGAGCTCCTGGTGGCTTGCATCAAAAAGCTGAGGCTGGCTGGCTTCACTGTGGTCAGCACAGTTTGTGACATGGGCTCACCGAACCAGATGCTGTACCGAATCTTGGGTGTGACACCGGAGTGCCCCAAGTTTGATGTGGACGGAGAGGAGGTGGTTGCGCTGTTTGACGTCCCACATCTATATAAGTGCTTACGCAACACCTTGCTGAAGCAGGATGTGACAGTGGACGGTAAAACAGCTTCCTGGAATGACATCCGCCTGTTCTACCAGCAAGACCGAGGGAGGCGAGTGAGAACGGCGCCGCGTCTGACAAACCACCACGTCGACCCTGGTCCCAGGGAGACACCGGTTGGTCACGTGACTCGGAAACAAAAATCAGCTGATAGAGTGGCGGAATTGCCGTAATCAAACACGAATAATTCCGGACGATAGAGCGGCAGTATAGGAGTTATCTTCGCAACAGGCAAACATTGCAATGTTTTATCATTCCATGATCAAGAATCGTTCATAAATCATATATTTCTTCGATGATTACTGCCGCAACCGACACGCACGCACATATCGTAGTCAGCGCATAAAGATATGCTTTGCGATATTAAATGTAAAGAAAAGCATTCTATATCTTGCTCCAACCTTCTACTTACGCTTTTATAATTACGACAGCGACACCATACGGCCTATCGACGCCACGCAACTCCATGGAGTTTCCGGCCACACTCTGCCGAGTGTGCCGAGATCAGAGGCGGACCATCCAGGGCACGTCCAGCTGCACTGCCCGGTCGCTGGGAGGGCGACACCTAGCGCCGCTCTGGCCGCTCGCTTCCGCGACAACTTAGCTACCTGGCTACGCCTATGGGAGGGGAGGGAGAAAACCAACAACAGTCTGATGAGCCAATGGAGTCTGCGAGCCGCGCCAATCAGCGCCCTTCCGCGCGCAGACGGGAGCTAGAGCTATTCATCTCCTTTCCTGTTTTCGCTGGTCCGCCAGTCACCAGCATCGTTCCGTGCTTTCCATCGTCGCGATTCGGCCGTGTTGTCGTTTGTGCGTCAGCAACAACAGTGAGAGAGAGGGAGAGAGAGAGAGAGAGAGAGAGAGAGAGAGAGAGAGAGAGAGAGAGAGAGAGAGAGAGAGAGAGAGAGAGAGAGAGAGAGAGAGAGAGAGAGAGAGAGAGAGAGAGTCTCGGATCACGCCAGACAAGACCAACATGGGTATCTATTGTTTATTTACTTTCCAGTGATCGCAGGCGTTTAGTTGTTTGGAACCGGCTGTGATCAGTATTTGACGCATTTCTGTGATCTGTATGATAAAACTGAAAAAATAGTGAAATATATCCACTTTAATTCACATATCGCTTTTGACTCATGGTGCCACAGCGTACATAGTACATACACAGCCGATCTCGGCATGTTTCTGTTCCAGAACAGCAGCTGCAGTGGACACCAAAAATTCATTCATGTTCTGACAACTTATTCCAAAGATACACATATTTTACGACGAACGTTCCAGAGAAAGTATTTTCTCGCTCACAGATGCTCAGCAAGAAGCGCGCGATTGATTGCAACTAGCACGCTCACGATTTCTAATATAGCGCTGGCCAAAACCTTCCCCTTACATCCAAATATAATAATCTTAATTCCAGTCTCTGTCCTATTTATTACTTATTAGCGCATCGAGAGTGAATGATACCACGGCATAGCCGTCATATTACATAGCACAAATTGCGAGACGACGTCGAGACCCGTATCGGCGTATCCTTCACAGATCCGGGTGTCTCACCTCCACTCTCAATCAACCCTGATACACCATCAACCGAGCCACGTCAGCTCCGACCATCTTGATCCCCGCACTGAAATCTGATGGCCGGCCCGTAATTTCATCCTATCCGTCAGCGCGCACTACACCCGAGCTCAGCCTAAAGTGCACTGTGCGGCCTTCTCCGGATGACGCCTCTGAGCATGGCGCTTGACTTGCACCTGGATGCATAGAGCCTCTTGTTCGTGTACGGCCATTATCATTTCAGGAATCGGATGGTCTCGGCGGTGGCGGCGCTGGTCACCGTGGAGCCGTTGAAGACACAGTCAGCTCGAGCACCCGCGACCAGTGACCTGTAAAGCAGCGAGTCGCGGCACATCACGACGACCGTCACGTTTCAGTCACGAAGGCCGTTATAGAAGTCACGGCGGCCGTCATATGCCAGCCGCGGCGACCATCACATAGCAGTCACGGTGACCGTCACAGGTCACGACGGTAGTCAAATACCACTACGAGCCATGGCGACCACGACTCATAGCTCATGATTAACGTTTCCTGTCGCACACTCAGCTATAATAACATTACATTAGCCTGTACACACATTTCCACTCGAGAAATCGAAATCCGAACCTGAGACCCATCATACGTCACGACACTTGCAGCGGCACCTGCATTAGCAGACATCCCATCCCGACAACACAAAAAGTTCCCCCAAGCCACCCACCTATAGGTGAGTGGTCCTTATAAGGACGCAGCGACGGGTTACACAATGCCATTACATCACCAACGTCACTGACCTAGTGACGTGGTGGGATACAGCCTGACCTGTGGACGCCTTGGACTGGTCCACACAGTTACTGACCTGGAGATGATGTGATGGTTTCTGGACAATGTGGCTGGATACACGCGCCACGTGGTTGGCCATCACAATGCTACTTCCTGCAGGTGACGTCCTACAGATGGATCGAACCGTTGTCTCCAGAACCACCGCCAGCAACGAGCCTGGTGGAGGATAATGTGTTCAGAACTCAGAAACCACAAAGCATAGTTACCTGCAATACAAATGACAAAGCCGGCCACAGGCACACAATGGCGAACTTTTATGCTAAGACTTGGTTTCATCGGTACACAAGATTGCAAACGTCCATGATGAAAATCAAATCACATATCTAGCAAGCAAATAAATACCTGAGAAAGCAGTGCACAGAACTTGTTTAATTATCTAGGAGCTTATATCTCTGTATTCCACACACGGTGAGCAGACAAGCCTCTGCCACGCCATACCTTCTTTGGCCCATATCAGTGAGCAGCTGATGTAGTCTGCCTGATTTTCGACATGTGTGAGGCTGGCGATGATTGCGTCTGCAGCGTTCCACGCGTAAGCCAACCTGCCGAGAGCCATGCCAGCTAGTTGGAGGAGCTTCAGTTCAGCTAGCAAGTGTAGGTAGTAGCCATCCAGCAAGTCTGGCAGGAGGCACTTTCACCAACTTCTCAGGCGTTGACGAGATGGAGTGCCTGGGGTGTGTGCGCACCAAAAAGCAGCAACTGTATGCGCAGAACATTGGCGTAACCTGGATGAATGAAAGACAGAGGGAGTCAGGAGTACAGGGGTAGACAACTGATATAGGCGAGGGGAGCACTGGAGACTATAGTTCGACAACTCTGAGAAAGAACGAAGCTTAGCCTAAGGTGCCTCAAAGCACTTAACACATGCATTGAACATTGGATAGCCTACCTGCGCTTAAATTTGACTGAAATCATCTCAGGCGTATTGGAAGTGTATTTACTATTTAGGGCCTTGTTGGAAGTTATCTTCAGAGACATGTGCATCAATAACTATTGCACTTCAAAGCTGTTCTTTCTTAGCACCTAGCTTTGTCAGACTAAGACCATATGAAAGCCATCTGCAGCACAAATGGATGGAACAATAGCCTGAGGATGTACTGGTATAAGTCACATTTATGAGGATCCACATTGAAGAAATTGTGATAAATGGCCTTTCCCTCCTCATTGGAAGGAAGATGATGGTGACCCTGCCACTTTTTTCTACTAAGGAAAAGAATCAAACAAATTACAAAATGAATAAATCTTATCACTAATGGATTTACAAACTGTCACCTAAGTTAAAACATGCTGTCTACAACACAACAGTGAATGAAAGCAAGTTTACCCAACCCACAACCAACATTGCAGTTTCTGCGGGCGCCTGCGGGTAGTGCCTATCCTTTGTTGCAAAAACAAAATGCGTGCATATGCCCACTCATGCGACATCTGCCTTACTAATGTGACAATGGCCTGGGCTGGCACCCTGGTGAGTTGTTAAAGCTGGGCCCATCCAGTGGACAGGCCACTCATCCCCCTGACACTCACCGCAACCGGCTACGGGAGTGCTCTAGTCCTATACGGGAGCTAACCACGAGATAAAGTTGTCCGTCCAGCCCAAACAAGATGTTGTGGCGGCATGGAAAAGGATTTGACTAACCCGAGGATGAAATTGACGGAACGGGGGGAGGAGGAGCGTCACAAAATGACTAGGCCCTGGGCAGGGGCCAAGGGATTTATACAGCTTTGGGGTAGAATACCTCCATACATGATTGAAGTCTAATTGTTACAAGACAATTGACAAACAAATAATAGCAACATCAACTACATACCTTTGTCCCGGTTTTTGAATCTCAACTAAACCATTTAAACCAAGGAAAAGAAGATAAAATACAAAATCAGCCAGCCTAGCACTGATGTGATAACCTCTCAAGATAAAATATAGGTTTTAAAAGTAGGTACCTACTACCTACCTTTCATTATCAGTCCTGTCAACCTATCTACAGCATTTTTGTCAAAAATGAAATCTAAAATCAGAAAGATTTTGTCCAAAATAACGTGCAAAATACAACAGCATACACGGCAAGTATATACGGCATTATTTACAAGTTAAAAAAGTGTTCTCTGTTAGCGAATAAAACGCCGTTCGACCAATCCATTGCCAACGCTTGCGTCTGCTAGCGACAAATGTCTGTTAGTAGCATTTACTGCGCGCAACTGCGGGTGTGTAATCATGATCGGCAGTTTTCAATACCAAGTTTTGTAAAGTTGCAACGTTTATTTTGTTTCACAACTGATACCAATAGATAGAAAATTTAATTTTATTAAGTGTATTATTCGAAATAGACCCCAACTCAGTCTCGTTTCTGAGTATTTTGCCATTAAGTGTCACAGTGTGACCTTTAGCAGCAAGAAACCTAGTACATTCTAGACAAAAAAAAATATACAATACAACACCACAACTGCAATCAAACATGCCTATTAGGAAAGAAAACGAAATTTTCATTTTGTTGAAGTCATTTTGCAAGCCCACTCTTGACATATTTACCAACTATCAATGTTTTTGTTCAGAACTGTTCAGTACCTTAAATTCTAAGTTTTAGATTCGGAAGCGAATTGGTTAAAGTTCCAACGTTTGTTTCGTTTTAGTATTTTGATATGTTATAGTGTATGCAATTTTGTATATGTTGGTATTTTTTTTAGACCCCAACTCGACTTCGTTTTTTGGAAATATTATATTTAGTGCAGCATTGTGACCATGGACAACAATGGTGGCTACGTAACGTCAACTAAATGCAGTTTGCAACATTAAAAAGGCAACGAGACACCCAAAATCTGAAAGATAATTTAATTTTGATATTTATTGACCATGATTTAAGCCCCAACTCACTGAAATTACTCGAAAATTCATGGTAGAGCACTGGCAGGTCCGGTAGGCTGAGCAGCTCAGAACCATGATAATTTCGAAATTCAACAAAAGGGAGTTGGCCTTTGATATTACTTTTTGTCCTTTAATTTTAAATTTTGATTGTAAAAAATCAATTTTGTCAATGAACAATGCTTGCAACTTAAGATATATAATTTTTGAAATGGCGGAGATAGCCAACAATTTATTTTCGTTAACGCTTCGCAGATTCACACGTGGCGTGCTCTCTGATCATAAATCAAAAATATATATACAAATAATAAAACTCATCGGAATTTGTTGCTTAGTTCTCTTTTTTAGACTTAAAGGGTCAGCTGAAAATAGTGGTCAAAATACCTAGTGTTGTAATTTCGAACCGGTTTTACCTAGTTCTCTATATACCGTGCCTGGTCCCTTCAAGAAAATGAAGGTGCAATACGCTCTTCAGGTCTTCAGTCGCAGTGTCGCAGCGGGCCTCAGCATGTATGCGTCATTTGGTAAGAAAGGAAATTGTTAGTCATTTTGTTACTATTTATTGACGTGTTTTAACTGATCAATCATATAGCAGAAGGTTGAGAAATTGCTTAAATATTCGGGTCATATACGAATAATAAAGCGTCTGCCACCATAATATGATCTAGTAATAATGACAATCTTTTTTTTTCAAGGGTGCCTGCCGAAGACCGCGGAAGATACTGCTGAGTTCCTGCTGCTTTTGAACGACTCTCTCGACGTGCTCAACGCATGCACGCTGTACAGCATATCTAAAAAGTATGTCCCCTGGTTTGGCTCTCCCACAGGAGGCGAATCGGTAACTTGGCTGAATCCCAGTTGCGGCACCCGGCCGCCAGGGTCGCTGCCGCGCGAGCGGCCTTGACCGCTCGCATGTCATTGGCAGTTCGGTCCCTCCCCATCTATACCGAGGTGGGGAGGGGAGAAGAGGGGAAGAGGGGGGAGGGAGCGGCATCCGCTCGGCACTTGGCGATACCTGGCTGACCCCGCGCTCCCTCGCTGACCTTTGTCCTGCCCTCAGGCGAAGCCCGACTTCCTGGCCTGTAGCGGCCCAGCGGAAAACCGAGCTCGCGGGGCGCGACTCCATTGGCCCAATCTTATAAATGGAATGCTGTCGTATTCACGGCATTAGATAATATTAATAGTGATACCAGCAGTGGATGTGGTAAAATACAGTCCAAAATAAACGAAAGCACTCGATTCGTGCATAATGCGCCCTCCCATTCAAATAAGCCCGCCCACTTCGATAGATGGTGTAGTTTCTTAGGGCGTAAAAGATGCAAAACACTACCGATTTTTTTTTTTTTAGCTCGGCCACTGGGACCGACAATATACAATTGACTGAAATGCATGAAAACCATTTTGCATTTAGGTAATAGCCGTTTTCTGCACCCACACTTTAGCCAGTGACGCCCTGTCCATTCTAAAGCGTTTATAAGATTGTTCCCAGCACCCGATTTTATATGAGGAAGTCGTTTAAAAAGCATCTTATTTTTAACGAATTTATTATTATGGCCACTTTTACAGGACGTCTGTAGAGCTTTGACTTTTACATTTCTTCCTCGTTCAGGAGAAACGTTTTAACCCTCACCGGACCTTCAGGTTTTCTGAATACCGAGGGGACGTTGGGGGTTGGAAGTGAGGAAACACTTCCAACCCCCCTTCGCCGATTCGCCCCTAATTGAGCTAGAGCCTCACGAAAGAAACGATCGTGTGCGTCGTTACGAAATGCAGCGATTGGTCTCCGATTTAACCCGGCGGCCGCTGGGCCTCCGCGCCACCCGCCGGCCGCTGGGGGGGGGGGGGCATAAAGTTGCCCCCCCTTTACTTCTGCGACGATATCGTCGCAACGCGAAGAGATAGAGAAGCGAAACTTTGCATACATCTTCCTGAATACCTAGCCGAGGTTGTGTCCAAATTTGGTGTCGATCCCATTTGAAATGACGTCACAGTGACGTCATAAGTGAAATTATAGATTTGCGACTCTCATATTCCTCACGATACATCACATATATGGGACCGAATATAAAGGGCCGATTATTGGTCAGAAACTAGATGGAAGTGTAGTAAGATGTTTTAGGATGACAGCAGGTGCTGTCTAGTTCATTTACAGTCGAGTTTCATGCTCAGCGTCATCAGAAACGGTCCATATCGGAAAACGACAAAACTTTATGACGTCACTGTGACGTCATCTTAGGTGCTACAACCACCAAACTTTCTTCAAACATTGCCTAGGTATTCATTTGAAGCTATGCCAAGTTTCACGTTCGTAGCTCATCAGGTTTCGGAGATATTTCACAAAACGTAAAGGGGGGGCAACTTTATGCCCCCCCCCCAGCGGCTCGTGGGTTAAGGACCAGGGTCAGCCAATGACTTCGGAGGTCAGGTCAAGTGGCCCAAGGCACAGGTTCGGTTTTTGGTAAATAACTTCGCTAAAAATGATCGCAGATCCGCGATTTTAGCAGCATCGTGTTTGTCTAGCTCAGGCGTGTCGAATGGTATACTTTTTCTTCGGGTGAGATCAACTTAACCCTCGCCCGTATAGGGGGGGGGGGTCGAACGGACTCCCCTCCCTCGGTTTTTCGCGAATAACTCGCGTAAAAAGCGGCCGATCGCGACGAAACTTTCGTTACCCTCGCGTTAATCAATTTTACACCCACCCTGAAATTGTCATGACCCTGACCTTTGACCTGCGACCTACTTTTCGAGACCATGTTTGGCCGGAATCGCGATTCGGCGTATGTCGGCTCGCATTAGCGGCGCGTTTGCAGTCTTTTCGTGGTTTTAAGCGTTCAAACATGGGATATGATGTTGCTTCCATGCATTAGGGTGGGTGTCAAGGTCACCGGAAAGTCAGGTCAGGTCATTGACCTTTGATGACCTCGGTTCACTTTTTCGAGTTTTACATGTTTCTAGGCCAGTTTTAGGAGTTGAATTCGAATTTAGCAGCCATATGAACATTAACGAAGTAGTTTTGGCGCCCTCGTAACATGTTGCGAAGCTGTCAGAGGCGGTTGCCACCTACTACGAATACCCTTACTGGTTGACCTGACCTGACCTGACCCGACCTGGCCTAAATGCATGAAGACATCATCTGTGATCAAAACTAACATGATATTCGTGATCAGCACCCCGAAAACCCCATAGCAGCCACGCTTTACGACTTTCTAACAGGGCCCGTTTTTCCCGACTTTTGGGTCATTGACCTGACCTGGAAAGTCAACCAATGACCTAGGACCTTAAAACTGGGTATCATCGACTTCCTCTCGTCACGGCCAACACGCTCGTTTTTTCCGCGAAGCTCTAGCTCGATCAGGGGCGAAACGGCAAGGGAGGGTCCAACGGACCCCCCCCCCCTTCCTTATACGTTTGCGGCTTGAAAAACACCAATACGGGCGAGAGTTAAGGTGTTAACCTCGGGTCAAGGTCAGGTCACAGCCCGTCAGGTCACGAAGCTGGTCAAAGGAGGTCATATTGCATATCTCGATTCGGCAGG